AGATATATAATTCTGGATATATTGAAGAATTTAGGCAAAAAAATTTAAGAAAATAAACAATAAACTCTACTTTTCATTAAACGTGAAGCCGCAAACATAGATCAAAAGATAGACTCTGACGCCAAATTATTTTTAATAAACCTTTGAAAATTAACTCAAAAAGTTTTTGAGATATATAAACAGCTTTCTTATTTTCTTTACCGATTGAAATAATTCCAGCATTTACAAGCAATTTGAAAAAATCTCAGCCATAATGGGCCATTCTTGATCGATTTGACAAGGAATGGGCTTTTTCTATCTTCTTACCTTAAATAGCAAGCTTGTCTTATTATGAGTATAACTTTTGCATGACCATAAAAGTAGATAGCCCTTCTTATAATTATTTTCTTAAAATTCTGTTTTCCAGTTTGATGGGATTTGAAAGAACCTAACAATTAAGTAAATGTCACAATCATATAAAAATTTGCTTTAAATATATATTATTGATGATGCCAATTATTTAAAATAAATAAATATAATTTCAAAAAATGATAAAAATATTGGTGGGATTTCATAAAAAAGATTTTCTCCGTTTAATGGCGATTTCCAGGTTTATCCGTGAAAGCCAGTTTTTCCTCTAATTTTCCTTTCTCGTTTTTGAAGGTCCTGAGTTAGTGTTGTTAAACGGCTCGATTTGAGCCAATATTTAAAAACGGCCAATTCAATATTTTATTCAGAAAAATTTTACACGTAGATTTTGCTTATATGGCACAACGGTTTGGACATCTCTTAGGAAATCTGGAGTGGACAGTATTTTCTGGCTAAAATATTGAATGAGCCGTTTTCAAAAATCGACTCGAATTGAGCCATTTAATAACACTATCGTGGGTGTGGTTCAAAATCGCGACATTTGAGCCGATATTTCAAAACGCTAATCAATATTTTCTTCAGGAAAATATTGTATAAGTCTTGAGATTTCGCTAATAGATGTCCAAACATTTGTGCCATCTATAAGCAAAATCTTCAGGTTTACATAATATTTTTTTGGGTGAAATAATGAATTAGCCATTTTTAAAAATCGGCTCAAAGAAGCGATTTTACATCACTAGTCCTGAGCATCAATATTTGTATAATTCATTTTATTCATATTCGCCACTATCACCTATATCAACGTCATCTTAGGCCTTCCTTGAGGTCTTAATTCTATCACCCATCGAAGTCACCAATTACCCAGTCATCTTTTGTTTTTCGTTCCACATGCCCAAACCATCTTAGCCTATTTCTTCTAATTACCTTTCCAATCTCTTCTATTCCCATCCTTGTTCATAATTCTTGCTTAGCCATTTATAAATCCTCATCTCCGTTCTTTCCATTATAGCTTCAAGGCCACTTTTATTGCCTATGTTACACCACCATATTAAAGCTCCTCACAAAGCTTATGTAAATTTTCCCCTTTAACTTCAGAGAGGTTATTATTTTTTAGAATAGATGACATCTTTCGGAACTTCAACCACACTTGCCTGATCTTTGCAACAACAGCTTAATAGGCCTCTATATTTATATAAATTAGCTAATATGGTGTGGCGACTAATTATATAAAATTCCATCCTTTTATTGATTATAAGATAAAACATAACATAATTAATAGCAGAATGAAAGAAAGGTTAGTTAATTGGATAAATATCCTAGAAACGCACGGATTAAAAGTAAATAGAGAAAAGACGGAGTATATGGTGATAGGAGGAGATGAAACGGAGAGTATTGATATAAATGATTGGCAGATATCCGCAATTGAAAGCTGCAAATATTTGGGCTCCACTATACAAACAAACGGCACAATAGAAAAAGAGATAAAGAATAAGATTAATCAAGGGTGGTTAAAGTGGAGATCTTTATCTGGAGTGCTATTTGACAAAAGAATCCCACACAAATTAAAGGGAAAAATTTACAGTTCCATAGTACAACCAACTATTCTATATAGTTCGGAAACATGGCCAACCAAAGAATCAGACGAGAGAAGTCTACAAACTATGGAGATGAGAATGCTGAGGATGATTGCTGGGGTAACAAGAAAGGATAAGGTGCACAGTACAAGAATACTAAATAGTTTAAAGGTAGTGCCCATTAAGACAAAGTTAATGGTAAACAGACTTAGGTGGTATGGGCACACAATGAGAAGGCCTATGAACTACATAGGAAATAAAGCAGGGATGTGAACCCGGACCCGGACCCTGAACCCTCGTATTTTGGCTGAACCCGAACCCGGACCCAAACCCTTTTAAAAAGTGGAGGGTTCAAGGGTTTAGGGTAAAAAATTTAACATATAAATTTTTTTTTTAAATAATGTAAAAATATTATTTTTAAAAAATAATATAAAATTTTTATAATTTTATTAATTTTTTTCGTGGAATCATTTATTTTATATTCGCGCTTTTCTTTTGATTTTCTTCCTAAACTTCATTTCATTTTATTTAGAGATTGATACCATAAATTATTTTCTAGTGTAAGTAATAATATTTTATTATGTAAATTTATTAATATGCTTTTTGCCTAAAAAAAAGCATTCATATTCAAATGTCTGAGGAGAATTTGATGAATGCTTTAGTTGAGCTTGTTACAATAAATGGAAGACCTTTCAATATTATTGAGGATTCCGGTTTAAAAAAATTATTGATCCTATTAGTAAGGCAATTGGAACATCAATTAACCGTTTATTAAGGACTTAGTGGTTGATGAATCGAAAAAAATGCAAGCAAAAATTATAAAAGAAACAAAAAACAAATTAATTTCATTAAAAATGGTTTCCGCCCAAAGATTAGGGAAAAATATTTTAGGAATAAATATACAATATATTAAAGGAAATAATATAATCTTAAGAAATTTAGCAATGAAGGAGATTAAAGAAAGTTCGACTTCTGAAAATATAAAAAGAATGATAATAGAAACTTTAAATAAATTCCATATTCCTTTAAGAAACGTTTATACCATTACTACGGATAATGGTGCTAATCTAGTCAAATCTATTAAATTATTAAATGAATGTTCATTGGACGAAATGGATGATATAGATATAAATAATGATGATAATAATTTTGAGGACATAAGTGAATTTGACATACCGGAGATAATAAAAGATTTTTCCACGAAGATATACTGTATCAGATGTGCAGCCCACATACTACAATTAGCTATTAATGATTCCCTCAAAAATAATATCTTTAAAACTATAATTGACAAAGCAAGGGATGTTGCAAAATATTTAAGAACTCCTACAATTGTACGAATATTAAAATCTATGAAAGGGAAATGGCAATATTAGATTGCACAACCCGTTGGTCCTCTATCTGTATGATGCTAGAGCGATTAATAAGTTTAAAAGATTTCTGTGATGATTTTATTATAGGATCATGTGAAATCATTTTGTCAGAGGATGATTGAAATCAAATCAAAGAAGACCTTACTAGGGTGTTGGTTCCTTTGAAAATTACTACATTATGATTGCAGTCAGAACAGTTGTGTTTATCCGATTTTTATGGCATATGGGTGAGATGTCGATTAGAATTAGAAAAATTTACAAGTTCCTTTTCATACGAAATATTAGAAAACATGAAAATACGAGAGCAACAATATTTGAAAAATAGTGTTGTGTATGCCTCAATATATTTAGATCCTCGATATCAAGTTCTATTAAGTATTGAGCAAAAGCAAATGACAATAGACCATCTCGACGATTTATGGCATAACCATAACTCTATTATTAACAATATATTGGAGGCTTCAACATCTAATGGTTGTAGCGATAGTAATGATGATAGTAATATTGACGATCTCGAAATTTTATTATTAGATAGAGAAAAAAAAATAAAATTATCATCAGGATCAGATAGAAAGGTGAAAAAAATATCGATTGTATCTTTAATTGAAAAATTCTCAGAAGTTAAGAGAATTAATAGGGATAAAAATATTTTAACATTCTGGGAGGAAAATTCTCTAATATATCCTGAATTGTATACCTTGTCTAGATTCGTCATGGCTGTACCGGCGACACAGGTACAATAATTTATATATTATAAAGATAACTATCTATTTTAGGTCAGCGTAGAACGTGGATTTTCTTCTTTGAAATACATATTGTCTAATTTATGTGGAAATCTCAAGGATGATATTTTAGAAGATTATAATCGTTCGATTGAATAAAATATTTAAAATTTAAATTATTTCATTTTGAACTATGAATGTGTATATATATTGAAGTATAATAAAAATGAATGAAAAAAAAGTCTTATTTTGAGTCATTATTTTTATGTTCCCTGGACCTGGACCCGAACCCTAGACCCGGGTCCTTTAAAAATTTATTACAGGACCCAAACCCGGACCCGGACCCTTTTTTTTTGTTGAAGGGTTCACATCCCTGAAATAAAGTTGAAAGTTTGGAAGTGATGGGCAAACGTAAAAGAGGAAGGCCAAAATTTCAATGGGGCCATAAAATTAGAGCCAATATAAAGAAGTATAAAATAGATAAAAGAGATTGTATGAATAACATAAAGTGGAGAGAGATGTTGAAGGAGCTTACCACCAGAAAAGGTGAAAGCTAGAGAAAAAAAAATTTAATAGCAGTTGGATGTGATAAAAGATATTTTTATATAAAAAAATTTAAGGATATAATTTTAGAAAAATTCGAATGTGGAAGATTTTGCGTAGTTGAGATGAGTGTGGTATTTTGACTTTTAAAAATATTGTGGTAGCCTACTAGTCAATGTGGGATCTGACAATACTGATCCTGATAGTCAGTATCTATTCTATAATTTAATTATTTTACATTTTGGTCATTGTGATAAGGGGGGGCTCAGTGCCATTCTTTATTTGGGAGGATCAGGAATCTACGTCCATGTTCTAAAGTCTGGTTACCCTTTAACTATTATTGATTTTAGTTAGAGAAGAAAAATATATTTATTAAAAGTATAAATCATCAAAAAGAAAATGACAGTATATAATAATATAATAAATTTATATAACATTACAGGTGGTAATGGAGTAACTCCTGTGATCATCGAGTATTGTTTAAATACTTTATCAGGTGTAGGACCCAATAATATAAACAAATCAATCACACCAGTTTCTGAAAACCAATGTGTAAAGGCATTATCATTTGCATATTTTATGTCTATCCATGTTTCAGAAGGGTTGTTCCAAAAAATTCCAATTGTTTGAGTTGAACTTTGAATTAAAAAATATAATGTATTTTAAAAAAAATTATTATATACCAATGACTTATCATATAAGGTATAGATCCATATAAGGCCATTTTATTATATAATTCATATTCAAATACATCAAAATTATACAATCTGTATGGTTCGTCATTTCTATAATATAAAAAGTTAAATATTATGATTATTTTCATTATTAATATTTAGATCATTTGTAAATTATTTTTAAAATAAAATTTAAAAATTAATTAATATTTCCTCAATATTTATATAAAACCATTATATCAATCAAAAAGATGTATTACACTGTTGATCTTAAAACAAAATTATCTGCATGCTCAGGTATACCGTATAAATGTTTAGACCCAAGGAATGTAATGTCTACACCAACAGATGTATCACCTTGATATAGAAAAAAATTAAATAAGGTAAAATCAATTATAATATATTTTCATTAAATAAGAATTAAGGTAATACTAATGAATATATTAATTAATTAATATAATTATAATTATAAGTTTATAATTATTACCATTAGGTTTTGTATCAGTATGTACATCAAATGTTTCTTGGTAATTTTTTTTTTCAACATCATTTTTTTTAACTTCATTCTCATCATTGTCAGTGTCATCTTCAACGTTTTTCTTAATTACCTCATTCTAATAAAGTTTTATTAATTTATTAAACTAGGTAAATACTGGTAAAGGATCATCTTCTTCATCTTTATCCTCAGCATTCCTTAAAGATTACTATATTTATGAAACCACAATATATATTACTGCTCATAATTAAACAAATTTTGACCATTTATTACTAGGATATGCTTTTTATTTTGCAATATAAACATTTTAAAAGGCTTGAAGTCAATAATGATTTTAAAATCATTAAAATGAATAAGAAGCTGTAAATCTGTCCTTTGATAATTTATGTTTGAGCTAAAACATCATAGTTCATAAAAATAAATTAATATTAACATACTATTTTTCTGGTAGTATATCAAGTAAGGAATCTTTTGATTTATATCGTAGTAATGCATCTTCAATCAAAATTCTAATAATATTGTCTTTAAATATATGAATTTCAGACTTTAAAATAAAATTTTTTAAATTATTTTTTATATTAAATGTTAAAGAATTGTCAACAAATTTGATGGTTTCATGTAAAATTTCATAATTATGTGTGTTTCCAATAAATGATTTTTGTCGACTTTAAATAAGAATATATTAGAAACAATATGTAATAATATTTAATAAACCTACAAAAGCCACTTTGGCTACAAGTTTTAAATTTTTTACGGTCAACAGCAGTAGTTAGGGCTAAGAAGAAATTGAGTATAAAAAACAAAAAATTTGAATTCATCACACGTTACTAGTGATAAGTGAAAAAATCATTTAAACATACGTTCTAAATCCTAACTCATTTTTAAACACGAAACTTGATTTAAAAAGGGGTCATAATTGATTATTCAAATTTAATTTATTATTTAAACTTTATTTTTTGTTCTTAAATTAATTATTATTTTATATATCTTTATTTATTAAAACCTAAACTATATATTTTAAATTCTTGACCTTTTATTTTCTTAGGTATTTTTCAGCGTATTATATTTCTTAATTTGAACATAAAATTATTAAATTATAAATGTTATTATTCCTCCTGTCTAAATAATAAAAAAATTTCTATATAATATGATATATATTTACAGATTTTTCTAAAAATAGTAATATAAATCTTTCATTGTTTTTGTGTATATTTGTTGTAAAATCTTTCATATTTCAACAAATTTATTATGTAAATCAGTTTTGAATATATGATATGTAAATCTAAAATGGAGTTTGAAGACGTAGTGAGGACATGATGTAGTGAGGACATGACGTAGTGATGACACGACGAGACATGACTATTGAATACATCGGAAAATTATAATATAGATATTTTTTTATCAAAATTATGAAAATCAATATGGACACATTCCCATGATTAACTTGACTTTGGTTACACACTGCCAACCTCCTTATGGGTGATGGAGGCACCCGTATTATTATAAGGAACACATATATTTGTAATTTTTTAAACATATTTATTCTACGCCACCAAACATATTCACGCTTCGATTTCAATCTCTATCTTGATGACCAGCATGTAATAAAAATAAAATCTCATAGCACAATTTAAGGTATTACACGATTTCCATATATTATACAATCGTTCACAATTTACAATACTCTTTGTATTTTTTTATACAAATCATTTCTATATTTCCAATATATTTATACCCATTAAATATAATTTTAACTGATTTAAACCTTTGTCTTTCGATATTTAATTTAAGATCTTACCAAATGGTTGGACCTCTCTTTAGCATATAGGATAATGAACGAATTAACGAATTTTCCCTATCCATAATTTATTGACAATCTTTCGGGATTTGAAGTGACCGATCCTAATCTAGACAAAAAATCTGACAAATTATTTTCTTTCCCTCGCCGATACCTAATTTCAAACTTCCAACGAGTAACAACCAACTTTTTAATCTCGGGAAAACATTAATTTTTTGTTATCTTTCTATGAATTAATATATTATGCTCAGTATAAATCACGAATCTTCAATATTTCGAACTCACTTTCTTGTTCAATTTTCCATTCAAATGAATACATTTCTTTAAAAACTCTTATAATGGAGATGCCACATTTTACAAAATTCTCTACAAAACAATTATAATAAAACACCCCCCCCCCTCCTCCGCTTACACCTATGAATATGACACTGACCTTAAAATGCTTTTTATCTCCCATAATGGAATAAGCTTGATAAGTCACCCCCCCCCCCCCCCCAAAAAAAAATATTACTTTTGATGATATCCCTCTAACTACTAGATATATGCATCTAATATTGACCCATCTACTGGTTTACAGAATTTTAATGTTCGTTTTATTTCAATAATAATGTTTATTTATATTTTTGCCTGATTTCTTTATTTGTATAGGCTAACCCAACCTTAATCCCTCACATTGCTACAAAACATGATGAATCTATTAAAGATATGCAAATAAAATAATGACGAAACAAACGCCTTGCCCGTTCTAGAGTTACTGGTAGCCAAATTAATAAAAAACTACGCTTGAAATTAACTCCTCTGGAGGTTTATTTATTTTTTTTATCTTATGTTTTATATTTATATGTTTATTTTATTTTCACCCAGTTGCCTCTAAATTATATTTCTATCACCATTACCATAATCCCTATGCCACCTCTGCCTATTTTTTAACAAATATAAGCATTCAATTCCGTACTATCATTCACTTCACTAGGAATTATTATAAATATTACTTTATCCGATTCTCTGAGAAACTTTCATGATTATTTAGAGGAATGTTCAAACTTGAATGTGCAGTACGGCCATTTTCATTAACTTTATTAATGGAAAAATATGCAGTAGTTCTCTCGTGGCCTTTATAACAATTCTTACTACCTTTTTATTGATGAGTTAACATTGTGGTTCATGATTCTATTTTAGAGGGGGCTACCAATGCTGACATTGACAGAAATATCATTTTGCGTTCTTCTTTTACCAGTATCCCAAGGCATAGGCATATGACTCATCTTTATCAGGACGTATTGTGTTTTGTACACTTTGGTAATCCGTCATTACTTTCATCTACAACCCTAAATGATATGAGATTGTACATTAATTATTTCCTTTCCAGACACCTTCCAGATTTATTTTGTCGCTTTTTCCATCAAAAATAAAAATGCCAACAAGGATTTGCTCTTAATTTTATCAAATACACAACATAATAATTATTCCTCATTATTTTTTAAAAAAATTTGCCTAAATTTATATGTCAATAAAAAATATTTTCTTAAAAAAAATATATATATAATTTGCTTATAAGTTTTATTAGTGTTTAATGGCATTTTTGTTATTTAAATAGATATCATTTTTTTTTACTCAACATAAAATATAGACAAATAATTTGGGAAATACAAGACATACATTAAATTTATCCGAAAAGCTACAATAACCCTATATAATAAACAACAATTTATTTTTTTATATATAATTATAATTGATCCTATTACCAAAAAGTATAAGAGTATTTTATCTTTATTTTATTTGTCATGATTCTCTTATAAGTGGTTTGCCCAGGCCTTCCCAGTTTCCCTTAATACGGAATTCACATGTTTTTTTTTACATCTTAAACTAATTGGTAAATCAAATAATTCCCCTTCATGTGATGATAAATCAATTAAAAATTTAACTATCCCCGAGGTGGGAAAAAATTTTCAAAATTATATTGGATACGACTGGGCTTAGGACCTCAAAATTTATATTAGCTTGCACTTGACATCGGAATATCTTTAACAAATTATTAAGGGGTGAGCTTAGACCTGGCATGACATCTATCGTAAAAATGAATAAAAATCTCATTATTTTTGACGGGCTTTCTACTAGTCTATATTATAATTTTCCGCTGTCCTCACTACGTCATCGGGACGTCATGTCATCGCTAGTCATGTCATCGGTACGTATTTTTATTAGTTTTATTTGTTGATTTTATTTATTTATTTTATACAAACAGATGTGATTTAAACACATTTGGTTACGATTACAAGGTGAAAAAATCGTCTGCGGGAAAATGGCTGATGTTAAATCGTTTTAATCAATTTTCCTTAATATCCAAAATATGAATGAAATAAACAACATGAATAAAACATAATTCAAGAATTAATAATTCTTCTTCCTCAAAATTCAGGCTAATTTTTTATTTCATTTAATCTTTTTATTTTATAGATTCTCTCATCAATCCTCACTCATTACTACCACTCACACATTAATGAAACTTGTACTCTACAAAATATTCAACTCATTTAATAATCTTTATTATAATCAAAATCTTCTCAATACATATATCACAAATCTTTATACATATATATTATCTTTCATAAACCAAATTAAGAAGAGTCAAGTATATTCAAATATTTATATATTCTTATCCCAGACTATTTCTAATCTCCAATTTCTATATATAACTTTTTCTTTATTTCCCCTCTCTCAAAGATCTCATCCATTTATCAATAAACTTTTTCATTATTATTCCTTTTTATCTATTAACAAAAATTTATAACATTATAAATTTATTTAATTTAACTTTCTTATAATTTTTTATAATTAAATAATCTATTTTTTACATATTTTTTTTAATCTAATACTTCTTTACCCTACAACTAATTAACTTTATTTTTTTCAATAACACTACACTCAACATGTTATTTTTTAACCTTAAATTAAATCGTCTGTTTTTTTCCTCTTCATTTCTAAATAAAATAAAATCGTCTGCTTTATTTTTAATTTATCTAACAAAAACCAAATCTTATTCTTTAATAATTATCTTTTTCTTAAAATTATGTCTTATAAAAAATTAATTATTTACTCTTATAATATACCTGGTTTATTATATAAAGTTACTATATTAAGAAAATGAATAGAGAAAAAAGATATCTATATATTAATGACACAATAAACTTTAATCAATAATAACATTATTAAAAAAATTAAGAGGTTATACAATCTTCATTTCTAATTCTTCTAACTATCATAATTGTGTATCATTTATTATTAAAGACTCTATTCTAAAATATACATCCAATTTCACTACAATCAGTGATCGCATTGCTTCAATTACACTAAAAACTAAAAGAAAAATAACCCATCTTATTAATATTTATGCTCCCGCTAATCACTCAGAATATCCCAAATTCATTATATCTCTAAATAACCACCTTAAACAAATTAATACAAATCATTATGAAAATTGGTAACGAATATATAAATAAAACTATCGGTTTTGCTGCCCTTGATCAAAAAACGGTAAAAATATTATTGAAACTTGTAAAAAAATCCAATCAGAATAATTAACACTTTTTTTAAACAAAAAAAATAATTATTTTACCTATTTTAAACCTAACTCTTTATATAAAAGTCGACTTGATTTTTTCCTTACTGAATTTTTTTATACAAAATATTTTAATTCTTAATGATATCGATTTCTTATAGGATCATCGCCCTATTGGGATACAACAATTTATTAAACCTTATTATTAAGAAACCTTAATATTTCCAATTCAAAAAATTTGATATCTTCTACATCAAAAAAATATAATATCAATAATTTAAATATCCCTATCTTAGCTGATAAATATCATTCAAATCTCAAATCAATCAATATTAATAATTCTTGGAACAATATTCAAAATTCTATTATCAATTCAGCATATCTTCATTTAAATATTAAAACAATCTATCCTGATTGGTTAAGATCTTATACTTCTTATCTGATCAATTCTCTCCCCAATAAAAATATAAAAAAACAAACTAG